GCCCGCCTCGGCCTCCCAGAGAGCTAGGATTACAGGCGTGAGCCACCGCGCCCGGCCGATCCCATTTTATAGATGAGGTCAACGAGGCCCAGCGTGGTTAGCCGTCACTCGCAAGATCGTATGTACAAAGATCATGGTCAAAATGGAGCTGTCAAAATTCCACCCAGGTCTGTCTGACTCCCAAATAGCTTTTTTTCCTACACGCCCAGGCCTCCTTCATTCTTGTATGTGATAGCATCCACAAATCCGAAACCATGCCCAAGACCCTCTGGGCTTTTCTAATTCACTACATCATTTAACAAATATTTATTGAGCAGCTACTTTGTGCCTGGCCTACTCCAGGTGCTGGGGATACAGCACGGAACAAGATCATCAAAACCTTTCTTCTTGCAGAGCTTATTTTCCTTCATTCATCTTCTTTCACTGTAGGAGTGGGGAAACATCGGTTCAGACCCTTATGAATGTGCAGTCCACGGTGTCACGCTGTGACTGGGTATGCCAGGAGACCCGTAGTCAGGGTTCATGGTGGAGCTGAGACCCCTCTCTACTATAAATAGAAAGAAATTAATTGGCCCTAAATTATAGAAAAATTAGCCGGGCATGGTGCGCATGCCTGTAGTCCCAGCTACTGGGAGGCTGAGGCAGGAGGATTGCTTGAGGCCCGAAGTTTGAGGTTGCTGTGAGCTAGCTGATGCCACGGGCACTCACTCTAGCCAGGCAACAAGTGAGGACTCGTCTCAAAAAAAAAAAAAGAAAAAAGAAAAGAAAAGACAAATACAGCAGGGTGAGGGAATGGAGAAAACAGAGGAGGTGTTTTAAATAGCATGGCGAGGAAAGGGCCATTTGAGATGTGACCTGTGAGCTGAGACCTGAAGGAAGTGGGAGAGCCATGGGGGTGTCTGGGCTGGAGTATTCCAAACATCGGAACAGCAGTGCAAAGGCCCTGAGGCAGCAGCCTGCTCACTGTAGTTGAGCGCCATTGTGGCAGGAAGAGGGGGGATGGGAGCAGCTAAAGCCAAAGAGCTAAAGATCGCGAAAGGACTTCGACTTTGACTCTGAATATGTGGGAACCAAGAGGGCTCTGAGCTGAGCAGGAGCTAACAGGGTTCCTCTACGGAACAGACTGGGCGTGCTGGGCAGTAGAGACCAGCCCTTCAGGGACGGGATGGACACTGGACTCAAGTGTAGCGGGAAGATGAGGCCTTGGGTCTGGGTGAGGTCCCTGCTCCCTTCTATGGGGTCTCGGGCCTCAAACCGGTGTGGGCAGGCTCTCCTCCTCCACCATAGTGACTATTGTGGAACCCAAGTTCAGAGCCTGGCCCCACCGCTCACTGACCGTGACCTTAAGCCACTTGAGCAACAGTTTCCTCGTCTCAGAAGAGGAGTGGGGCCGGGCGCGGTGGCTCACGCCTGTAATCCTAGCTCTTGGGAGGCCGAGGCGGGCGGATTGCTCAAGGTCAGGAGTTCAAAACCAGCCTGAGCAAGAGTGAGACCCCATCTCTACTATAAATAGAAAGAAATTAATCGGCCAACTAATATATACAGAAAAAATTAGCCGGGCATGGTGGCGCCTGCCTGTAGTCCCAGCTACTCGGGAGGCTGAGGCAGGAGGATCGCTTGAGCCCAGGAGATTGAGGTTGCTGTGAACGAGGCTGATGCCACGGCACTCACTCTAGCCTGGGCAACAGAGCAAGACTCTGTCTCAAAAAAAAAAAACAAAAAAAAAAAAACAGAGTTTGGTGTACAAAAAACTAGACACAGACTTACAAACTGGGAGAAATTTTCTTAAAACCTGTATAAAATCTCAGTATCCTGAATACACGAGGAGCTCTTTAGAGAGGAGCTCTGCTCAGCCCCACCGCCCCACGGCCCTCCCCTCCCAGCTGGCCTTGCTCCAGGTTCTGTGACCAGGACGGGTGGTGTCGGCCTCGCCCGCGCTTCTTATCCGTGCCGAATCTCGGCCCCACCCCGGACCTGCCGGATCGACCCGCACTTTCACAAGACAGAGGTGATTCATGCAGAAATGAGCGTAACTAATTCCATCAGCGCCACGCTGCTGACATAAAGCCCAGATTTCCAGAATAACTGGGGGGAGATATACCTTCCCAAACACTTCTCTCTGCCCAGGGTCGCCAGGGTCTGTCCCCTGGCTGGGCACAGGACATTGGAAACGAGCCGTTTCTAAAAGGACGGCTCTGCGTGGGATTTGCTGCAGCCCGTCTGGGCACATCACGCAAGGATCTGCAATCAGTTATTACTCGGGAGATGGCTGCTGTTTTTAGGGCTGCGAGTCTGGTTTCTTCTGCCCAAGTTGTCAGCTCCCCTGGGCGGGGCGGGATGGGGCTGAGCGGAGCTGAGTTATGCGGGTTGGGCACAGCCCGGGATGACCCTGCTGTCACCACCCGCTGTCAACTCAACTGGCGGGTTTGGCGCTCACCTGACTCCCAGACCCTCCGGCCACGCGGACGTCATTGCCTGGGTTGTCACACTGTGGGAGCGAGAAAGGGAAGACTCAGTTTCCTCCCAGACACCAGTTCCTGCAGCGTTCCACCCCAGGGAGCCCTCGGTGGCGGCATCTGGCCCTGTTCTCCATGGAGCCATTGCTCCCCCATCCCGCAGGGGCCTCTGCTCCTCCTCTTCCTCTCCCACCGCTCGGGGGAGACGTGTGCCCACGCGCTGTCCAGCCACTCACCTCGGGCTTGTTTCCGCCGCTGCCCGAGGAGGAGCCGCTACTGGACCCCTACGTGGGACAGCGAGAGTTCAAGCGCTGTGTTAAAAGGACTTGCCAAGGGACCACTCCTTCCCAGGGGGGCGATGGACTTGTTGAAACCCCTGACCGGTTCCCACCCCCTCTCCAGCCTCCAGACCTTCCCGTCCCCAGCCAGACGGTGGCTCAGGGAAGTTCCTCGGAGCCCGCCCGAAGAAGGCCGGGTGTGGCCGAGGACGTTTGGAAATGTGGGATGACTTGGGGAATCTGAGCTGTTGCCCCCAACCCACACCCCCACCGCAGGCCAGGGGTGGCAAAGCCGCGAGCCTGCCACCAGGGGGCAGGAAGCAGGAGGAGCCCCTGGAGTCTTCACCTGGGAATCTGAGTAGCTGCTTTGGTCAAAATTCCTAGAATTTTCTAAGGGTCGGTCCTAGAAGGGAGAAACGAGGGAGAGGAGCAGTGAGTTAAAGCGCCTTACGCTGCCAGGCTTGGCGTCCCTCCTGGCCCCTCAGCCACCACGCAGGGACCCCGTGTGCCCTGCAGCTACTAGTTCCCTCCACACCACAGCTCTGTGAACGTCCTTGAGTCTCCACATGCACAGCCCTGTCCCCCGTCCTCTTGGGAGCGTCCCCAGCAAGTGTCCTATTTTCCTGCGTCCCCCTGCTCGCTTCCCTCCCCCACCCCCGGCTCTCCTGGGGCTTGCCAAGCGCACGGGACTGCAGGACCAGAGGTTAGGCTGGCCGGGCACCCTCCCCAGGGTCACGGAGTGGAAGACAAGGGTCACCTGTTGCAGAAAACCACAGCTTGCACAGAAGGTGGGGAACAGAGGCTACGGGAGCCCCAAGGTGACAACTGCCAGTGAGGCCACCCACCCAGGGGTGGTGGCAGCTTTGAGGGGAGCCCATCTTGGAGCCCATCTCCTCGGCGGGGACCACCAGGGGCCTCGGCCCGTCTCTCCCTGCACTGGAGGCGCAGAACTCACCCAGTTGCCCCCAGAACTGCCACTGCCACTGTTGCCACTGTTGCTGCTGCCACCACTGCCACTGTTGCCACTGTTGCCGCTGCTGCCACTGTTGCTGCCTGACTGTGAGCTGCCGCTTCCCTGAGAGGCAGGGAGGGACCAGAGCCAGGGTCAAAGACAGGAGCTCCAGGACTTCTTCCCTCCTCCCCCTCCTCTCCTGCCACTTCCTCCCGGGCAGAACGCCCAGGCCGCCCCTCTCCTCTTACCCCAGAGTTGCCGGAGCTTCCTCCGGAGCCGGACGGCGGGGGGTTGGTGCACTGCAGAGGGACAGGGACGGCGAGTTTAAGACTTCGGTCACCACCGTTTCCAGGGGCCAGGCCTCTCCTGTCCCCTGTGGCTTGGCCTCTTTTCCCCTTCCCAGTCCCCTGCTGTCTTCCTGGCCCCCTCCCTGCCCATCTCTTCCTGGCCCATCTTCCTCTCACCTCAGTCCCTCCCCTCCTGTCCTCTTCCTCTTTGCCACTTCCCGTGGTCACAGGCACCAGGCACCCCTTGGTCCCAGACTCTCCCTCTTACCCCTGTATTCGGGCCGCTGCCTCTCATTGCGTCGTAACCAGGCTGGGCCACGGCTCCCTGCGGGGAGGGTGAGACTGAGCGCGGGACCCAGAGGACCAGGGGGGCGTGTGCCCAGTGTGGGCTTGGCGGGAGGGAGTGGCAGGGATCAGGGCCGGGGTGGCGACTTTACCTGAGCATTGGTCCCAAAGTTTGGTGACATGCCGTTGCCTCCTTGACCCCAGGGTCCTCCTTGAACATTGTTTCCAAAGCTGCCTGCCGGGCCTCCGGGGTACCCATGTCCCCAGGGAGCGCCTGCACCTCCGGGGTTGCCCATGCCGTGGCCTCCAGATGTCCCCTGCAAGGACACAACACCTGGTGGCTGAGGGCAGGCAAAGCAACTTCGAAATAGACAGGAGCCAGAGCAGAACAGAGAGAGGGACGGAGCAAGGGACAAGGCGGAGAGGAAGGTTGTGCGTAACGTGGAAGGCGGCTGCCCCAGGGCCGCGAATGGGAGACCCATCCATCCTTTCACCCCGCCCAAGATGCTCAGCCCAGCTGCAGCACTCACCCAAGCTCCACTGCTGCCGGGCACCCCCTGCCAGGAGCTATGGACGGCATCCGCTCCGTGTTGAAGGGCATTCCCGGCCTGCCTGGCAGCCTCGCTCCCGCTGTTTCCAAGAGTGTGGGCTGCCTCCCCGAGCTTGTGGCCCAGAGCATCGGCCGCGCCGTGGCCTGCAGCATCCCTGACTCCGGAGCCCAGTGCCCCTCCGGCCTGTTCGCCAAGGGCCTGCCCAACCCCCTGGCTGAGGGCATCTCCCATTCCGTGCCCAATGGCCTCCCCGACGTTCGTTCCCACGCTTCCCCCTCCTCCCCCCTGCAGCGGGCCAGCCTCCCCGCTGCCCAGGCACAGGGCCAGCAGGAGGCAGGCCAGGGACCCCTGGAACTTCATCTCGGCCCGCTCCCCTCTGTCTCTCCCTCTGTCTTCTTCCCACCCGAGTCTGCTTCTTGCCGCCGGTTCTCTCCCTCCGCGTGCCCTCCTCTCTCTCTTCTCCCTCCTGACTCCTGTCCTGCCCTCCCTCCGGTGTGCAGCCTTCTCTCCTTGCCCAGACGCCCCTGCCTTCCCAGGGTCCTCCTCCCTGTCACTCCTCCTTATACTGTAGGTTGGGAGAAGGTGACAGGGCTGGGCGGCCCTGGGTGCCTCCCCCCGTGACTCAGGGCCGGGCCGCCGATAGGGTAATGAGCTGTAATTGTGAGCCTGAGCAGCTGTGTCGAAACAGACAGGAGCCCGGCCATCGGAGGGGTGAGACGACACAAAAGCATTCCAGTTTCCCAACCCCAGGAATTTGGGGCACAGGGTGGGGGCAGGGGCGTCCGAGGAGACAGTCTTGGTGGAGTCTCCTGGAGGCGGTGGGGTGGGGGGACTTGGGCGGGAGGGGTCACAGGCAGGACCCCACCAGGGAGCAAGGATCGGGAAGCCTAGTGGGGCAGGACACGCCTAGGCACCAGCCAGCCTGGCTAGGGGGCAGCAGAGTGGCAGACAGGTGCCCCTTGTTGGCCCTCCTGTCCCCCTCTGCCCTCCCACATTGCCACCTAAAGGCGACAGCCCTCAGGTGCTTGCACCCTTCCCGCCCGCAGAGGGGACCCGAGGTGTCGGGGAAGGAAGTGGCCGTGACCCTGAGAGCCGCACCAGGCTGTTTGGGAGCGTTCGGGCTGCGCTGGCTGGGTGAGAAAGCTGGGTGCGGAGCAGCGGGAGCTGGGCGGGCCGCCACCCCCGGGGACGCGTGGGCGGGAAGGGCCAAGGGCGGGAGCAGCTGACCCAGGCGCCCGTCCTGTTTACCCGGCCAGGAGGGGGCACATGCGTGAGCTCGCCGCAGGGCTGCACCCCTCAGCCCCTCCCGGCTCCCTGGGGGGGACAGGGGCAGCACGGCCCTCCCCCAGCCCAGCTCAGAGCACAGAACTCGGGCTCCCAGGTCTCACCCTGCTCAGCAAATGCAGCCTTCTCCATTCCCAGGGCCCTCGGGCCGCCCACTTGGCACCGTCTGTATCGCTGGGACTCATCGCCCAGCTAGGAGGGGCCGGTTTCCATCCACCTTTCTCAACGCCTCTCAGTCAGTCTCTGCCGCCCTCCCTCTCCACCCCGACTTGTCACATCCGACACTTCTTGCCATGTAAACACGGTCCCTGTCCGTCCTCCCCAGCTCCTACCTCCCTGTTATTCCATCTCGGACTCGTTAATGAGGATAATAAGGATGGTGGTAATAATAATAATAATAATAATAATAATAATGATTGCAGCTCCAGCTTAGCAAGGTTTCCCATGTGCCCAGCGCTGGACTAGGCATTGTAAGGATCCTAGAGCCCTGGGACACAGGGCTTCTCATGACCCTGTTCAGAGACATGAACTTGGGGCTCAGAGAGGACATAGTGACAAGGGCCAAAGGAGAGCGGGGTGCAGGGGCAAAACTGGGTCCCCAGGACGGGTCATGGAGATGCCACAGGGCAGGAGGACGGGCCCTGGGCCATGCAAAGTCTCCTTCCAGAACTTTCTCACTGGACCGCATCTTCCCAATGTTGTATATCTGCCCTCTCCCTTCTCTAATACTGATGTGTTTCCTTTAAGCCAGATTACTTTTTTTCCTTAAGTATATTTAAGTGAATAATTTATATCACCATCGTAAAGGGAAAGCCAGGATCACTCTCCCGTAAATAGAAAGTACTAGAAAAACATAGTGATGAGCAAACAACAAACAACAGCATTCCATTATACCGGCCACGGCTCCTGTACCTCTTTGTTAAAAAGAAACGTTAGGCCGGGCGCTGTGGCTCACGCCTGTAATCCTAGCTCTTGGGAGGCCGAGGCGGGCGGATTGCTCAAGGTCAGGAGTTCAAAACCAGCCTGCCTGCTCCTCTATGGGGTCTCGGCCTCAAACCGGGTGTGGGCAGGCTCTTCCCACCATAGTGACTATTGTGCGAACCCAAGTTCAGAGCCTGGCCCCACCGCTCACTGGACCGTGACCTTAAGCCACTTGTGCAACAGTTTCCTCGGTCTCAGAAGAGGAGTGGGGCGGCGCTGTGGCTCACGCCTGTAATCCTAGCTCTTGGGAGGCCGAGGCGGGCGGATTGCTCAAGGTCAGGAGTTCAAAACCAGCCTGAGCAAGAGGCGAGACTGTCTCTACTATAAATAGAGAAATTAATTGGCCAACTGATCTATATATAAAAACTACCGGCATGGTGGCGCATGCCTGTAGTCCCAGCTACTCGGGAGGCTGAGCAGGAGGATCACTTGAGCCCAGGAGTTTGAGGTTGCTGTGAGCTAGGGCTGACGCCACGGCACTCACTCTAGGCCTGGGCAACAAAGTGAGACTCTGTCTCAAAAAAAAAAAAAAAAAAAAAAAAAAGAAGGAGCGAGAGTGGA